TTCATGGTGCCCTGTTTCCTTGTGTGCTTTGTGATTTTTTACTGCTAGCTGTTTATTGTTTTTGGCACTTTATATTTGAGAATTCTTTACGGTTTGACTTAAAAATAAATTCCTCCAGAGGAAATGGATATCTGCTTTTACCAGTAACCTGGGGCATACAAATCTGGAACTGCTATAAATTAAATTTTCCCAGCACGAGTAGCATGAATTTGGCTTGCAAACCTGTGTAAGGGCTGGCTCATGGTTACAAACTCCCAAGGGAGTTTTTTTTTTTCCTCCCTCTCCTAGCAAGTTTCTTTACATTCCCCTTACTCATAGTGGGATTCATATCCCACTGACCCTCACATTGAGGGTGTAGCTATTTGGAGTTCAGGCTTTATGGTAACATCTATTAGTTTCCCCATTGGACAGAGATAGGTGTTATTTTTTGCCCACTCCATCCCATGCAGGTGTTAAAGCAGAAGCTTAAGGTCTTCAGTAATGGACTGGTACAGCACTATTGGAGTCCTAAGTTTCTGGCTTTTCATTTGTTGGGGGGATCTGTGTATTCCTTGATTTCATGCCACCTCACAAATGCATTTAGAAGAATTTAATATATATCTGATTAAAATTACTTTTTACAGGAAGATTGTTATATCATTTGTAAGCACTATGCCTTTAGTTCCTAGCACTTCACCAAACTACAAAGCATAGTTGCATTTCATTCATAAGAAAATGGGGCATGAGACATAGAAATGCTTATCACTTTATGTGCTCAAAAATATTTTCCTGCTTTTATTGCAAGAAGATATATTCAAAACACCTGTCTTAAATGACTTTGATTTATTGTGAATAGAGATATTTTCCCAAAATTCTAATTCTCCCCTTTCTCTTTACTGTTTTTTTTCTACCAATTTATCATATGTAAGAAGTGAAAGAACTGGCTGAGTTCCACTTTTGCTTTTCCTGGTATCCTTCTGCTTTGCCATACTATAGAGAAGCAAATATGCTATCACACCCTATAGACCAGAAGGCAGCCATATTAAGTCTCCAGTTTAACTTAACAAGTCATTTAAGCTTTCTGAACAATTACCTCAATGATCCCACTTCTAAGAGATGTATCAAATAAAATGAGATACTTTATATTTACACATGTTGCAGATTAAAGCACTATCTAAAAAATGATAAACACTATAGCAGAAAGTACCACTGAAAACAAAAACCAAATATATTCACTTTTGAAGACTGGCACAATGCTACTTGGAATATGCACAAGTCTTTAACTGTTCAACTATATATATTCATTTGAATATAATGAAATTAAAAGTACAGATGTAATTATAAAACATTAATAACACATAATTAGCGGTAGATGAAGAAATCTAAAATTAACCTTCTAGACTGGTGATAAAGTATACAATTAATATATGCTACATAAAAAGAAAAAAGGAAAATGAGAAATCCCATTTTAGAAAAATATCTAAATGTAAATTCCACTCAAAAACAAACACCCAACTAGTAATTAGAAAATAATTTTGCCAAAGATAATTTAGACAATTTACTTTTTGCAAGTCTGCCCAGATTTCCACTATTTATTTCAGTGTTATCCAAGTGGGGTCCAAGAGCAGTCCCGAGGATAACGGCATTACAGTCACTGACTTTCAAGGCTTGTTTAAAATGCTGACTCCTGGGTCACTTTCCAGATGCACTCAATCAGTACATCTGGAGGTAGGGCCAGAAAAATCTGCATTTTAATATGTTCTCCAGTATCAAACGTTTTCCTCTTTTATTTTTATGAAATCATTCATTTAAAAATATTCAAACATGGTTACAAATGGAATATTCAGGCCTTTCGGGATCTAGTGTGGGGCACCATAAAACCATGAAAAAAGTGTCTCAATAAATTCAAGAAAACATGTTTACGCGGTTACCTTCACAGCTGCCTTCAATTTTTCTTAGATGAGCATTAATTGCTTCAAATGACATCTCCCCTCATTATCAGCCCACCTGAGACACGTGTGTGTGTGTCTCAACAGTGCTGCCACTTTGCAGCAGGTGCAGACACGACACAGCAGCACCTGGCAACCTGTTCAAATTCTCAGATTCTATTTAATAAAAAAGAAGCAAACACCTCTCTTAAGGCAAAAGGCTCCGGTCAGCTAACCCTCGGATTTCCAGCATATTGAAAACACTTCTGTAATATTCGCTTCACAAAGACACCCCGAAACTCTCCAGCCAGCACCTCACAACTGATGGAAGCTCTGGCTCTATCCAGACTCAGACCCCCGGTTCTGCCACCGGGCGAAGCCACTTCGCAGGCGTAGCGCAGCTGGGGAAGAATAAAGCGGTCTGGAGCAAGGGAAGACGCCGGAGCAAGGGGAAAAGCCCAGGAATCTCTAAATCCGAAAGTTCAAGGAAGTTAAGTCTTGTCCCCCACTCAACCCACTCGGCTTTGGCGGGGTCTCGGGGGTCTGTTAAGAATGCCACCTATTCTCAGCCTCCCCTCCGTCGTTAACTCTTGAGGGGAAGGACGTCACCCTTTCTACCAGCGCTCTCTTCGCAAGACTGCCGAGGGTTGCAGCCCGGTCCCCTCTCCCGCCACACTCCCAGCCGCTTACAACATTAGAAAAACGAAAACGGCTCCCGGGACCGTCACCATCTTCCTCTCGTGACTGCCATTACCCCGGAGTGTCGCCGTCCCCGCACACCGCAGGCAGTTCGCAGACGTTTCCTGCAGTTGACCGACCGTCAGGTCTCTGCCCCCCTAACGCCGGTTTTCCGCTCGTCAGAAATCACCTCAGGACCAGCCCGGCCCGGCCCTCTTCGCGCCACAGCCGCTGCCGGTTCGCAGCTGCCACGGGCGTTCGGCCGGGGGTTCCCCGCCCGCCATCACTCGGGCTTACCTGGGCCTCGACAACGCTCAGGAGGAAGCTCAGCGTGACCAGCAGCTGCACCGCGGCCGCCGCCCCCTGCCCGCCGTCCCGGCGGACCCCCTGGCTCATGCTGACCTCTTCTACAGCAGCGGCCGGCCGGGCCCCTCGGGGCCGGGGGACGGCGGGCGGCCCAGGCGACGACCCAAGGGGACGGTTCCCGCCGGCCAAGTGACTCCAGGGTCAGAGGTCTGCACGCTGGTCGGGAGGCAGGCGAACTCTCTCCCTGACGCCCGGCAGCTGCAAGTGAAGCCGGAAAGCCGAGCGCCCCCGCTTCATCCCCCAGACGGCCCCGCCCCCGACCTCCTCGGCTCCTCGGCCACGCCCTCGAGCCCGGGGCCTTGTGGGAGTTGTGGTCCCGGGCGGCTGCCTGGGCGCCGCGGCCGGAAGGCGGAGCCAGCGGCCGAGCAATCCCGGGAACTACAACAGAGGAGGCCGCTCCGCCTCCCCGGGGCCCTCGGCGGCCAATGAGGCGGGACCACGCGGGCCTCCAAAACACCAGGAGGTGCGGGCGGTCGGGGTAACAGGGCGCCCTCTTCCCCGACCTGGCCGGCTGTCGCCGCTCCCTGGGCGGTTGCCCAGGAAACGAGGAGCCTCTCTGCGGTGACCGCTGCGGTCCCGGAGCGCGCTGTGGCTCCGGGACACCTCAGCCTCCAGGCTCCAGGATTTCGCCCAGTACGAACGCAAGTTAGGAACCAGTGATGAGGCATCTTTGACTTTCGACCTGAAGCCTTTGCTTTGTCTCATTCACTTACCTGTAGCTTCATGTCACCTGCAACATACAAAAGTGGCTTCAGCTCCTCTTTTATTTTATACGCCCCAGGCGTGGATGTCATCTGCCGCCCGTTCCTGCCCCCACTCCTATGTTGACACGTGCAAATATAATGCACTTTAAAGCATGAAGAGAAACCCAAAGTTTATGATGAAATATGGGAATGGGGATAAACGCACAGAAAAGCTTGGAGTGACATAGATTGGGCTCAGATTTTAGCTCTAAAACATTCTAGTTATGTGTCCTTAATTCCCACCTCAAATATTGTTCTAGGATTACATACGATTATATACAGAAAGGGCTCTAGGATAGTGCCTCACATCTAAGAAGTGCTCAATAAATGGTAACTGCTTTTAGTTTTATTAATATTCTTGATTTCTACAAAAATAGCAATAGGTCATCTTGCATTTATGTAATATATATTAGTTTCTCATCGCTGCTGTAACAAATTACCACAAATTTAGTGGCTTGTAACAAAACAAACTTACTGTTTTGCAGTTCTGGAGGCCAGAAGTCCAAAATGAAGCTGTAGAGCTGCATTCCTTCTGGAGGCTCTAGGGGACAATATGTTCCCTTGCCTTTTCCAGCTTCTAGAGGCCACCTGCATTCCTTGGTTCGTGACCTTGCATCATATGGTCACATCTTCTCTTCACTCCCTCTGCTTCCCTGGTCACATGCCTTCTTTTATGACCCTAACTCTACTGCCTCGCTCAAATAAGGACCTTTGTGATTACATTGGGCCCACCTGCATAATCCAGGATAATCTACCATCTCAAAATCCTTAATTTAATCACACCTGCAAAGTCCCTTTTGCCATATAGGTTCCAGAGATTAGGATGTGGACATTCACGGAGGGCCACCAATCAACCTGCCACATAGTGCTTTATACCTTTCAGAGCACTTTCACATACGAAAACTGTCCAGAAAGTATCCAGCCATTGTTAATATAATGAGAATGGTTTGCATGACACCGTTGTAATCTGGCAGCCAGGGAGAGTGGACTGGAATGCGCATGCGTGAACAATGACACCCTCACTGTACTAGTCAGTGGGACACTAGAAGCCACTGAGTGAGCATGTGTGTAGTGTGTGGCCCTCGCATTCAAAATGACTGAGCAAATAGAGCAACAAATCTGCATCAAATTTTGTGCTAAGCTTGAATATTCCTCTGCAGAAACTATCCAGATGATTCAGAAGGCTTTCAGGGACGATGCGATGAGTGCAGTGCAAATAAAAGTGTGGCACAAACGCTTCAAAGACGGTGAAGAATCTTTTGAAAGTGATCCACGTTAAGGCCTGCAACAAGCAGAACACCTGAGAATGTTGAACATGTTCGAGTTAGGTTAAGAGATCGTGGGAGAACCATGTGAGGTCCCAAGGTGCCTTCTTTGAAGGGGACTGCAGCTTCATTTTCCTATGTACAATGTTTCTTGTATATTGTATCCTCTTCCATAAATGTCTCTATTTTTCATATATTACATGGCTGGATACTTTCCGGACAACCCTGGTATTGTTCCTCAGGACTTGCTACATAGTTTTCAGGGCCTAGTGCAAAATGAAAATACAGGGCCCTGGTTCAAGAATTTCAAGACAGTGATAGCAGATCATCGAGTCAAATGCAGGGCCCTGGGTGACTACACAGGTCACATGCCCATGAAGCCAGCCCTGTCCGTCCCTTTTTCTCTTCAGCAGCTCTTTCCCTTCTGCCTCCAAACGTGTCCAGATCTTCCCTAGCTTAAAAACAAAAAGAATTGTTGCTCGATTTTTCCAGCTACTTTTCCATGTCTCCTTCTCTTTTCTCTGCCACACCTGTACTTCCTATGCACCCATTCCCCTCTTCCCCTGGTCCGAATGTGCTTTTGATGAGAGAAAGCTTTCCTCTTATCAAATCCAGTGAGCTGTCCTCAAGATTCCTTATCTGTGCTGCATTTGATGTTAACACTTCCTGGGATTTTGTTGTACAAAACTTTTTAGAAATGTCGGTTATAAGTTTACTTACGATAAAATTTCAGGTCCTTCAATGGCTCTCTAGTGCCTTTGATACGTAGGGCAGAATCCATGGCCTGCAGTTCAGAGCCCTGAAAGATTTGCCATTGAAGGACAAAGGAGGAAAGCAGATAGGGAATGCTAATGCCAGAGTCAGATAGCTTTTGTCTTCTTAGTTACCTAATCCAGAAACTAATGGTAACAATACTCTCCATATTTGTTTGTTTTCAGCTCAGAAGCCTAACACACGACTTCTAGGGACAAACAGGTTTTTCTTGGTGAGTGAAATTGGAAATAGCAGGTGTTTATCATGATGTCGCGATCTGTTTTAGTGTTCATAATATGAGTGGTTTGAGGGGATTGTTCCTCTTTGTTCTCTTACCCTGGACCATTTACCTCTGCTTTCTCTAAAATCAACTACATTGAAACCAGCATTGTGAGAGGCAACGATGATGTGATATCACCTGTGCTTCCTGCAGATGATGCTCAGTTTGAACCTTCCTATCCCTAACACTGTGGTTGGAAGTTGAAACAAGAGGAAAAGTGTGTACACTAAACCCCTTTTGTAATTGCAAGCCACAAAAACCAGATACAGCTAAATGTTAAAAAAAAATAGCAAATGAAAAATGTGGAGTCACTTATGTTACTGAGGAAGATTTCACCACTCATGCCTCTGAAAAGGCAAGTCCGTCAGGACAGAATTCAAGGAGGGACTCTAAGGAGTAGGTACCAATGGACAGTCTCTTCCAGGGCATTGCCTTTATACTGATCGATTCCAATGACTTTTAGTCTTTTGTCCCTCCTATCAAAATTCACATGCTTTCCACAGTTTAGAGGAAGCAAGCACCTTGATTCCCTGTCCCACAAGAGTACAAGGAATGTGCAAGGGGTAGTTGCACAAACGAATAGCAAGTGCTGCTACCTCCTCTGTTTAGTAGAGGGGAAAGGGATGCTGGTCAAACAAAAGCAACCTATGTTTCTTTCAGGAATTTGTGTTTTCATTGAGTACTCCATTCGAATTCATTTTCTTTACCCCAGCTTGTATTGACACATTCATTAAAGTATCACAGATCCTGGCTGCAGTACACCCAAAAAAAGCACACATGAAGACACTGGGCTGACCAGAAATAGCAACAATAGGTCTATTGTTGCTTATGTCATTTATGGTTTACTAACACCACCCAGGTTATACGAATCTAATTACCTGGAACTTAGGGTACAGAAAAACCGACCACATTTTTCAATGGAAGAATTTATGAGACCCCCAGATCTATCAATCTGAGAAGGGTCAGGACCAGCTATGTCAATCAGTACAACTCCCTTATTGTAAGCAATGATCATTTAGAATTGATTTGGTTGAGACAGATTATGGGAGGGGGTGGAACAACCCTTAGCACAGGTGGTAATTCCACTAGGGCCACCATGACTCTATTTCCTGTGATTCTAAATGGAGCCAAACAGAATCAACCATAGATGACCTCAGTGTGCTTCACCTTTCCACATGGACAGTGTTAAATGTGCTTAAGTCGGAGTTAATCTTATTCATAATAGAAATGTAGTCATGTTGACACCATGTACAAAAATAAATTTATATTTATTACAGATTCACTCTGTTTTGCTCTCAAATACAAAAGATTCCCCCATCCCTCTTCCCGCTTTGTTTCCCTTCCCTTCCTTCCCGTTCCACATCCCCCTCTTCTCTGGGAGGATGGCCTAATCATCTCATCCCTGTAGTCCAGAGTGAGTCATCGAAGTCCCACGGCAGTTCCTCCCTGCAACATTCATTTAGCACTAACAGTGTGCCACTCTGCGTTAAAGTTGGCTTGTCCTGTGTATATGTGTATTACAGCCCTCTAGAGTGTAAAGTTTTAGAAGACTCTTTTTGTACTAGATTCTCTTTAGTGGCTATTGTCCCTATCAACGGTAGTCAATAAATATCTGTTGATTGACTGGTTAATATTGTTTATGGTGTCAGTTTCTCTTGGAAGATAATATATCTCAGAACCAAACCTGAATGTGGGGCCACTGAACGTTTCCTGTGGAGGGCTAGGAAGTGGCTTTGTCGGAAAGGAATATTCCTGGAGAATGCAGTAAAATGCAACTGACAGTCTTCCATTAAGGCAAGGGATTGCAGTTCCCTAAACAGAGGTGTACTTGGGGACTATGAAAAAGACTGAGAGAGTAACAGATGCCAATTACTAGAAACCATTACTGCAAGAGTTTGCCTCAAGCACTACTTCAAATGTCTATAGCTAATGGTTTTTGAAGCAAAGGCTTGAGAATTATCTTGAATAGATTAAGAAACTTTGTGAATTAACAAAATTGCACTAAGCTTTTACATCTCCAAGATATCATCAAGTATATTGTGTTTCTTTGATGACTTTATGGCTTAGTTAACTTGTGACTTCTAATAAAGGAGGAAGTCATTGATGAATGGCTCTAAATAAAAGTCAAGGTAATGGGGTGGAAATTTAATAACACCAGTAATTTTCTCTCCTAATAGCAAGCGGAATTGTGATTAATGAACCTGCTGAGTAATGGCAATCTGTTATGTTTAAACAACTGTGTTT